AGCTCAATTGTAAGCGGCCCGTGAGTCAGGTTTTATTGGGATTTAATCTGAATTAATTACTGATCCGAGCACAGTCTCTCTCGCTCAGACCAAAGCTGGCCCTATCCCAGAAGCCTTTGTGCTGCATTGAGGAGCATCTCATTAAACACATTCATATCAGTCATCATTCTCACATCTCTTTTGTTCAGGCACACACACACACACACACACACACACACAGAACTGCTGAAACCCAGGTCTGCTCGTTTAGATTATGAAGTCAAAATCTGACATATCTGTTTGGCTCATGAATATTAATCAACATTAAACGGCCAGTAAATGAGCCGGATTACACCAATAGCCTCGAGGATTCAGTAACTTAAAAGTATTTAAAATATATATTTTTTAATTTTTAATGTACTTAAATATCACTATTTTTATTTATATTAATACATTTTGTAATTTATTTTAATAAAATGTATTTATTTACACAAAATGTATTTCATTTTATATTAATCATTTTGTTAAAAATATTGCATTAATAATTTTAATGAACTAACTTTGTTTAATTATATTGTATATTTATTTTAATAAAATACATTTATTGAAATCATTTTTAAGCTGCCTCAGTTATACAGTGAGTGCATTTAAGCGCATTATACATGGATGTGGATATTACTGCACTTTATGAGATTAAATACTCATCATGCCCTGAGTGACCTAAGCACTTCTGTATATTATATATAGTAGCTAAACTGCATATTCAGACTGAAACATATTTACAACAATACTATAATTATGAAATGTCAATGACACTGCACTGTAAAGTTGTAAAGAAAGACTATCGGAGAACGTCTGACAAGAAAAGGCTATTTCAGTTTATCTGTAAACATTCAATGTGTTACTTGTCATTTCTGGAGTGTAAACATTTCCAATCCTTATCAGTGTATACAAAAAATATAACAAATTTACTCATTTTATTTCATCTAGTTGCCAAGGGAACATTTCTCACTTTCACTCAGTTTATCTTGATGTGAAACGGACAAATACGGAGAAATTAGGGGATATTGTTTGTCATGCGTTCGAGTCGCAGAGAAAGCTGTTTGGGGCTCCTGTGGAGAGGGAGAGGTAAAGGTAAAGGTAAATGTATTCAGGTCTGCTTTTGTTCTTCCTCTGTTATCATCGTCTCCAGCCAGACGTATCCCAGCATGCCCTGCGCGCCGTGACCCGAGGACGAGCCTCTCGCGGACGGCGTGTGTTCCCGTATCCCGCTAACCTCTATTCAGATCACACACGTCTGTGGAAATGTCAGAGTGGATCCTGGAGCGCAGATATCTGACAGAACAGCACAGGCCATCGCCCAATCCCAGGACAATCCCACGGAGGATCCCACAGAGGCCGACCGTCCCGAACAATGGCGGAGAACGAGACGCTCGTCTGTTATCAGACACACACACCTGAAATCTCACAGAATCTCCCACAAACAAAGGGTCCCGCCCACAAACATAGAGTCCCGCCCACAAACATAGAGTCCCGCCCACAAACATAGAGTCCCGCCCACAAACATAGGGTCCCGCCCACAAACATAGAGTCCCGCCCACAAACAAAGGGTCCCGCCCACAAACATAGGGTCCAACTAACGAAATAAAATATTATATCAAATATATATATATATATAATAAAATAAATATATTTTTTAATATATTTTATTTCAGATAAAGTTTATTTATTTCCAATAAGCAAAAATGTTTTTAGTTTTAGTTAACGATAATAACCCTGATGATGATTCTCCTGTAAAATGTTCCTCCTCCAGTGGATCAGCTCCAGTTTTTCAGTCTCTAGTCTCTCTCTCTCTCTCTCTGTCTCTCTCTCTCTCTCTCTCTGTCTCTCTCTCTCTCTCTCTCTCTCTGTCTCTCTCTCTCTGTCTCTCTCTCTCGTCTCAGTGATGAAGGAAATTAGGCAGTTCTCCTTCTGCTGGTCACATGACTGCCATGTGTGTTTCCATTCACACACACAGAAAAGAGCTCAAGCTGTTCACACACAAACAGTTCATTACGTAAATGAGGCGATACACACGAGGAGACCGAGTGAAACACACATGACCTCGAACAGAAGAAGAACACTGCTAATAACCACACACACACACACACACACACACAGCTGGAGGTCAGTATCAATTTATAAATCACATTTTTATGACTCCAAATTTACCAGCCCTATTATATGATATCATGCCTAAAATGTGTGTTAAAAGCCCTGTAACACACTCCTGTAACACACTCCTGCTGTAACACACTCCTGCTGTAACACACTCTCTCATGTCTTATTGCTGTCATCTTCCCATGATGCATCAGTCCAGCAGCGGAACCACAACAACTCTTGAGCATTAAGAATGTGACTCTGAGCTGTGTGTGTGTGTGTGTGTGTGTGTGTGCTCCGGTGATAAGACTCTGTAAAGGTCGCAGCGTCTGAAGTCACGCGTGTTCTACGGATGGGGAATGAATGAGTTAAGAGTAAATAATATCAGATCACGTGTTTAAGAGGATCAGTGTGAACACACACACACACACACACACACACACACTCCTGCCGTCTGACAGCTGTCAATCACACCACACACCAGCTCTGGATCCGAGACACTCAGGTGACAGGAGAAAATGCTTACTAGCGTAACCCCTACACCCGAGTCCAACTCGACCCCTCCGAGCGGGCCTCGACCCCGGGTCTCCGGCATGAGAGTCGGGCGCTCTAACGAGGAGGCTAAAAACTGCAGCCGCTAGCGTCTGTCGCTAGCAGAAACTACTAGCTGGCCTCCGTTACACTAGATAATTTATACACACACACACACAAAAAAGTTCAATTAAAAAAATTTTAAAAAATCAGCTGATCTATGTCTGTTTATGATGCGTCGTTTCAGCCAGCAGTTTCACACACACACACACACAAGCTAGGCATTACAGGTCTTACAGACCATCAGCACACAATTAAAGAGCACACACACACACACACCAGCAGGACTAATTAGAGCCGAGAACGCTTAACACACACAACACTGAATAATAACGCTCACTTCATGCATCTTGTTGATTTATTATTCCTTCTTTCCCAGGCAGCGTCACCTGTACCAATCCCAGCATGCACTGCGACGCATTTCATGAAGTAAAGGAGGTCAATATAACACCTGGAGTCTCTCTCCGTTAGCGTTCCCATTCATCTCGATGGCAGATGTTCCGGAGCGCCGGAATTACACCATTAAAGGAACAGCAGCGAATAAGAGTCAGAGAGGGGGAACAGATCACGAAACAAACTCTGCGAGCAAAGAGGAGAAACACACACGATGCGTTTACAGATAACCCGTCAGTAACGGGATTGACAGAGCAATCCCAATGAAAGAGCTGGTTTATTCCTTTACTAATCCGATCCAGAGAACACGCAAACACTTGATCGGATTGAAAACCGAAACGGAGAGGACTGCGTATCATACGCCCCGTTCACATTCAGATTTTTTGCTCAGATCCGATTTTTGGTTACGGCCTAAACACACACATCAACCCGATCACATGTGTGTGTGTGTGTGTGTGTGTGTGTGTGTGTGTGTGTGTGTGTGTGGTCAGACACACAGATCAGATGCAACACTAAACTCCAGATCGGATCCAGATGAAGATCATGTGCTGGAGACTAATTCTGGTCACGTGACTTCAGGAGCTGATCTTCATCAGTGATTAAAGCGATCCAGCAGAGGAGACTCGCAACACTCCACTGAACAAAGCCAGCAATTAACCAGTGAATCTCACACACACACACACACACACACACACACACACACACACACACACACACACACAGAGGAACAGTTCGCGTTTTATTAAGAGACTGAATCATTTTCCACGAGCGCTAATGAGACCGCCGCGTGCGTGCGTGCGTGTGTGTGTGTGTGTGTGTGTGTGTGTAATAGGCCATTAAAGCATCATACGAGTTAATGAAACACTCATCAGAGAATCAATCAGCAGATTCAGAAGATCGTCAGTGGGATTCAACTCGTCTGATTGTTCATCATCAAGGAAATCATACACTCTAAAAAATGCTGGGTCGTTTTAACCCAATGTTGGGTCAAATATGGACAAACCCGAAATGTTGGGTTAAAAATGTAATGTAAAAATTTAACCCAACGGCTGGGTTAGTCCATATTTGACCCAAAGTTGGGTTAAAACAACCCAGCATTTTTTAGAGTGTAAATATCCAACAACAACTCTTCAGTCATCACTGTACAGCACAACTCATTCAAACACCTCTGTGATACCGGACTTTATATATATTCAACTAATTAATTATTACCTTATAAATGGTACTCAAATACTACAAAATTACTATGGTATATCCATTCCAGAAACGGTGGTGGTATTATGGCAAAACACCACGGTATTATTATTACACCATTACAGTGTTTGAAACTACCAGAATGCCAAACCTCAAAAAGGCACTACCATGGTATTATATCAAAAACTATGTATAATGTGGAAAACAACCACAGTAAGCACCGTGGCCAAATATAGCTGGTATCATGTAGAAAACTCATATGTCCAAAACTCGATGGCATTATGTGGAAAAAACAGTGTAAAACTTTGGTAACCAACAAACTATGGTATTATGTGAAAAAACTGTAACCTATATCCAAAAACCAAGGCATTGTGTAAAGAAACATTGTACAACTATTCCCAAAATGTATGTGGGGGGGGAAACGGTAGCACCATGACCAAATACACATAGCCTACTGTTATGATAAACCAGCGAAACCAACCATATATCCCAAAAATAATGTAGACTACTGTAACTGCCATGATACAAATACATCATATACAGGAGCAGCAAACCTAAACTCAAGTCCAGAAACTCTGTTCGCGCCACACACACACACACACACACACACACACACACACACACCTCCTGAAGCTGTCCGTCAGGTGAGAGAGTCGCGCGCCTCACCTGTGAGATCTCGTACAGTAGTGTGTAGTTCTCCTCACCTGTGAGATCTCGTACAGTAGTGTGTAGTTCTCCTCTTTCTTCTGTAAACTGCACAGATTGCAGCCCATCCTCGTGCTCGGGGAAACCGTGACCCGCGCGCGGACCCTCATGCACACGCGCGCGCAGCCTCTGGCATCTGACAGCAGCGGCGCGCTCTCTCACGCGCTCTCTCTCTCTTTCTCCGAGACACGCCCCCTTCAGTAGTTCAGCCAATAGAGACAGAGCGCATTTAGGCCGCGCCCACACCAAGTACCCACTGACTCTCATGTATTGTGTGAAGCTGCCTCATCGGCATTTCTGACTTATAGCAAAACACAACACCATGACTAAAAGCTGCTGTGTGACAAGATGAACAGCAAACAATCTAAATAAACCCACAAATAAGTTTTTATCAGCTGTCGTTCCCCCTAAAACGAGCGTTTGAGGAGACAAATGTGGATACAGGCGATTGAGCCAGAGCGGACGTGTCCCACTATACGCGATGTGCATGAAGGGGTGTGGCTAGCGCGAGTGGGAGGAGCCAGCGCGGAGACAATGAGGCTCTTTTGTGTCCGGAGCACATTAATGTGTGGAGATTTTAAGTGGTTTTTCGGCTTTAAACTGTTATTACTGGTCTGGGAGACACAGCTCACAGTGGAATTGATCAGAAGCTTTTCAACATAAAATGCGAAAAGCAAAGTAGGTCACCAATCTGCAGAGACTGCACACACACACACAATACATGCATAATATTATGATCTATGAAATATGAGTACTGTGGATGCACAACTGCAGATAAGTGATTTAGTTTTATGGCTGGTCCTGGTCGTATACATCTATACTATTAATAAAACAGCTGACACTAATGCACTGAACTGAAGTGAGGTTTGATAACAAACTCACCGCCTTTAATGCATGAAAATGAAATGCAGAGATGCAGACTGATGCAGTGCAATAAAATAAAATAAACACACTGCAGGAGGGATTGAGTCAGACCAGAAGATGCAACAGAATCAACCACATGTAATTGTTCAGTAATTGGCCCTGGAGCTCAGCATCACACTAACACACACACACACACACACACACACACACACACACACACACACACACACACACACACACACACACACACACTTCAGTCTGGAGAGTGCTCAGAGGAGTTCGTGTTTATCTTTGAGTCTAAATCTGTGTAAGAAACTTTCCTAATATTGTATAAACGGACGAGAGTCATATAATCCCTCAATCTCCTCGCTGGAGAATCATCCCTGCAAACCCTGATTTATGGAATAATAAGTCAGAAATATCTAATCATTTCAAAAGAAGTTTGTTTGACCTTCAGACAGATTTTGTTTTAAATTGCATGTGTTTTTTGTTTTGTTTGGTATTATATATTTAATACATCAGGCTTTTCTGAAGGAAAAGCAGCTCAGTGTTATTAATATGCTGTTGCTGCAGATGATGATATTTATGTAAAACAGTGAGATCTTCATAACACTACAGCAGACTGACATAATAATATCAATATCTGCCAATAATGTGTCTTAGATAGTATTTAACTGCTTAGTTTATGATGAAAACATATACTCAATAAAATTATGATTGACAGATGAACACATAAACCTTCTTCAAAAAACTAATGATCATATTTCACACTCATGATTTTTATAATAAATCATGATGATCAAAGTAAAGTTGCTTCAGTCCAGATGAAATATTACAAACAAAATCAAAGTTATTCTTTTGTTTACTTGATTAAATCTGGTCATATTTGACACAGTGTGTGTGTGTGTGTGTGTGTGTGTGTGTGTGTGTGTGTGTGTGTGTGTGTGTGTGATTGGGTTCAGGAGCAGGTGTGTGTGTGTGTGTTCCTCTGACCTCCAGGGTGAGTGTATTGTTCAAGGCTGTTTTGTAGCCGGCCGACAGGATTGACTCATAAAATGCTGTGTGTTCACGGACGCTGTTCCATAAAATCCTGACACACACATTTGTTTCTGAAACGACGTGCTTACAGCCACACACTCACGGCCGACGGGGGAGCGCGGTCCGACATCCAAACCTCGAGATCTACGAGACGAGTGTGTAGACGAGACATGTGTCTGCATCACACACACTCCATCAGGACGTTTACTCCAGCTCTATTTCAATGTAGAATATTACTTTTCAAAGTTGTTCATAAAACAAAGATTATTAGAGTATGTTTTACAAGAAAACACTATTTCAGTCCTTGTACTTTAAAATCACACATTTAATTCAATTAATTCTGTTTTAATGTATAACTTGTTTTTGAAACAGAAATTTATAGTAAAGAAATATCTACAAAATAAATCCTATATAAAAAACTGTAATAGGGCAAATTAATTTCTGGCAAACCAATCTGGTTATCATGTTATTATTGAAATGATATGTCATGATGTTCACGTCCAACTAATGCTGGAAATGAAACTGTCCTCAGATGTTCCTCAGATGTTCCTCAGATCTTCCTAAGATGTTCCCCAGATTTTCCTCAGATTGTCCTCAGATCTTCCTCAGATGTTCCTCAGATCTTCCTCAGATGTTCCTCAGATTGTCCTCAGATCTCCCTCAGACCTTCCTCAGATGTTCCTCAGATTTTCCTCAGATGTTCTTCAGATCTCCCTCAGATCTTCCTCAGATCTTCTTCAGATGTTCCTCAGATCTTCCTCAGATGTTCCCCAGATTTTCCTCAGATGTTCCTCAGATTGTCCTCAGATCTTACTCAGACCTTCCTTAGATGTTCCTCAGATCTTCCTCAGATGTTCTTCAGATCTCCCTCAGATGTTTCTCTGATCTCCCTCAGATGTTCCTCAGATCTCCCTCAGATGTTCCTCATATCTTCCTCAGATGTTCCTCATATCTTCCTCAGATGTTCCTTAGATGTTCCTCATATCTTCCTCAGACCTTCCTCAGATGTTCCTCAGATTTTCCTCAGATGTTCTTCAGATGTTCCTCAGATCTTCCTCATGTCTCCCTCAGATGTTCCTCATAGATGTTCCTCAGATGTTCTTCAGATGTTCCTCAGACCTTCCTCAGATGTTCCTCAGATCTTCCTCATGTCTCCCTCAGATGTTCCTCATAGATGTTCTTCAGATGTTCCTCAGACCTTCCTCAGATGTTCCTCATATCTTCCTCATGTCTCCCTCAGATGTTCCTCATGTCTCCCTCAGATGTTCCTCATAGATGTTCCTCAGATGTTCCTCAGACTCGCTAGATTCTGCTTGCAGGTTTGATTCCTCTGGAGGACAGATGTGATCTTTCATAAGCCCTGCTCATCTACAGTGTAATACAGCGTTGCGTATATTCCTCTCAGAAACTCATGTTGGTGTGTGGTCTGGGTCTTCAGCGTCACACACACATGATGTCTCTGTGTGTGTTCAATGCCATTCACGCAGAATATCTCACAGTAACAAACTTCGTTGACACACTTTCACACACAACACGGGAAACTAATGGAAGTGATATCCGGACGGCTCGGGCCGTGCGCTGCAGATTCCTCTGGGAATCATGAATCTGAAACATCAGATGCTGCCGAGACGCACTGACAGGAGATTGGTTGCTATGGAAACTCCTCAGTTTGATGATGCGTATGTCAATGTCAATTTTATGTATATAGCACCAAGGCTAATGATTGCAGGTTCTGTGTTGTTATATGTCCCTTTATATTAATCGACGCTTTATCTGTTATCAGTGATGTCCTACACACTGAATAAAGTCTGAACAGTGTTCAATGTTAATGCTGGTCACTTTATTCGTAAGAAAAGCACAAGAAATAATTGCTCAAAGCAAAACTTCACAATAACGATGATTGACGAATCACAGAAGTTACTCAGAGATCTGAGCGGCCAATCAGCATCCAGCAGCCTCAGAAGCGGACACACACACACACAATGTGACTCGGGAATGAGTTAAGTTCTGCTCTTCCATCACTCATAAACTTTCCCATCAGTGTGTGTGTGTGTGTGTGTGTGTGAGCTGATACGAGACGACACACACTCGCTGTTTACATGCTGAACGTGCTTCTGAACAAACAGCATTACCTCAGGAGAACCGAGTTATTGATGATGGAGATCAGTCACACACACTCGACTCTCTCTGAGGATTACACAGTGTGTGTGTGTGTGTGTGTGTAACAACAACAGTCCTCTGGAAGAGAGTTAAACACATTTACATCATTTATATTCTTTGGTTTTGCTTGTTTTACAGCAGGGGTTTTCAGACCGAGACGCACGAGGAAAAAACACTCAAAATGATATTTGATATTTTCACAGCTAACGTGAACACTTCAGATATTAATGACATTTAACTTTCTTATTTAACAAATTTCATTATATTACTTTTTAAGGACTGTTTATGAATCCTGAGATTTTATAATATTATATTTACAATAATCTAAACTAAAAATATATACACTATACACTCACTAACACTTTTACACACACACACACACACACACACACACACACACACACGCTCTTGTTTCATATCGTTTCTGCACACAAATTGCCCCATAAAGTGCGAACACGGGCGATCATAAACCGGTCCTCCTCCGCTCCCGTTGCCATGTCAACCCTTTGCCCCGGATCAGATTTAGTGCCGGTCATTCTGCCGGCTAATTGTGGAGTCCAGACTCGCGGGGTCAGAGGTCACGCCGGAGACAGCAGGGTCTCTATGAAACGCACCTAATCGCTCATAAAATGTGTCAACATCCAGATATAGCGCGCGGCGGAGCTAGGGAGGTCACCTCTGCAGTGTGTGTGTGTGTGTGTGTGTGTGTGTGTGTGGGACGCGGGGCTGATGGGAAATCTGGGTTACTGTCGCTCAGTGAGAGTATTTCTCGTAGAATATCAGAAACACCAGCTTCTCTACCCATAATGCAGCTGTGCTTCTGTAACTGCACCACACAATCCTTTCCTGTTAAACGGAAACAATTAAACTGAGACAATGAGGCTGGAAATTGTTCATATTCAAAGATCGTTAACCGGAACGCAATGGCTTGATAATTAAAGCGATTCATTACGCTGATTTACTGCAGGTTCAGGCACTGTTTATTTTTGTTTTGTTTTCCAGTTTAAAAACTACACAAGGTCACGAGCTCGACTCTCCTGCAAACTCTTTCCTGGGTTCCCATC